TTTTTCTTCATGGCTGCACTGCTGAGATAAACCAGGCTCCTTTGACTTCATTCCCTGCCATCAGGGATTTGTGCACACTGATGACACTCCCCTGTCCATTCTTGTCTCCTGGGAGCCCCAAGTATCTCAATCCTCCGTGGAAGAGCCTTTATATTATCTTGGTGGCCTTGTACTGTTTTTTTTCAATAAGTCCATGGGGGTCTTCTGCTGGGGAGCCCAGATGTGCCAACACCAATCCACCTAAATGTTGAAGATGTTAATCAGTGTTGGCTCCATGGATACAACTCTTGACCTACTTCCCCTGAGACTTGGCTTCACCTGGACTTCAGCTCTTACCCAGAATATTACATATTATATAAATCTGACCGTTTACATGACCTGGCCATTCTGGGATAGTCTGGGATGATGCCATGGGAAACACAGTAAAAAACCTTGGTAAAAGGTGGAGGTTAACACCAGCCATGTCTCTCTCACAGTCCTTCTCTGTATGTAACACACAGGTCACTAATACAGGTTTTTGCCCTCCAAAATTAATGCTGAGTTCTCCTCACTATCTTCTTGTCTGACCTGCTCTTGGCAGTGCTTTACAGAATAAAAAAAATGACCCATCCTTGTCTGCAGGAACAAGGTCCCTGGAAAGCCATTAACAAAGTGAGAGGGAGTCAATGCACTGGAAGGGGCAGGTCCTAATGCTCAGCACAGCTGCAAAGCCCAGAGCAGCCTGGCAGGATGAAGAGGGCCCTTCTTCACAACACACCCACAAACTAAACCACACAGGTGCCACAAAATGGCTTCACTGATGACAGCCTTATTACTCCTAGGTTTTGTTGGATATTCTGGTATCCCTGACACACATCTTCCAAGCAAAACTTCCCGAATACCAACTATCACTTAAAAGCTGCTGCCAAGGTCAGATGGACATGGACTCAAGGGCAGGAAATTGAGTTGTACAGTTCCTGGAAGGAAAACACTCCACACTTCCCAACGACTTGCACAGCTGCGCCAGGCAAAACTGGGGTTATAATTTGCATTCAGGTGCCTCTAGAGAGTAAGAAGATTATTCTCTTTTTCTGAATTGAACATCTCCAGTTCCTTCAACTGCTCCTTAAATGCCTTGTTCTTATCTTTCATCAGCTACAATGAACCAACACAAGACTTTGGGGAGCATGGGAGGCATCCCTAAACACCTAAATGGGATAGCCTGCCCACATAGACAGGTTTAGAAACTTGGAAACATGGTAGGGAGGAAGAGAATGTAATGGAAGGGGACACCCCTCATCCTCAGAAGATCAGCAAAGCCCAGACCACCCTGATGTGGCCGTGGGAGGAATGAGGCACCTTTTCACAAGACACCAACAAACCACAGCACGCAGGGTGACCTCACTGATGGCACCCCACTGTCCAAAGCTTTGGTCATGACTTCAGCCTTTCCTGAAAAACATCATCACCAAACTTTGGTCTCTGAAACTAACACTTTAAAGCTGCCGCCAAGGACAGATGGACACAGATTCAAAAGTAGGACATGACACTGCAGAGCTGTGAGAAGAAAAACACTCCCCACCTCATAACTCACCAGGCTGGGCCAGCCAAGAACAGCAGGCTCCCACATGCCCCAAGGCCACGGGACAAGGCTGTCCCGCCCCTCCAGAAGCAGCATAAAAGCCAGCCCAGTGCCTCTGTCCCTCACACACTTCTCCTCACCACCTTCTCCTTCTGCTTCTGCTGACAACAAGGTAAGCCTCAAGCCCTCAAACCCCTGACCCTCCTGCTCCTGAACCCCTGGGCCCTCTCTGCCAGCACCCTCAGCCCCAGCCTCAGCAGCCCTCACACATCCACACAGCCCCACAACAGCCTCCACACTCCCTCAACCTCCTGTAACATCACCCCTCAGACACCCATGAACCCTGCCCTGCCTCACTCTCTTCCAGGGACCCTCCACACCACAACCATGGCCTGCAACAACCTCTGTGGACCCACCCCGCTGGCCAACAGCTGCAACGAGCCCTGTGCCCTGCAATGCCAGAACTCCAGCGTCATCATCAACCCTTCCCCTGTGCTGGTCACCATGCCAGGACCCATCATGACCTCCTTCCCCCAGAACACCGCCGTCGGATCCACCTCCTCGGCTGCTGTTGGCAGTGAACTCAATGCCCAGGGACAGCCCATCTCTGGTGGCTTTGGCTTTGGCCTTGGCTATGGGCTGGGAGGCCTGGGCTGCTATGGCAGAAGGGGTGGCTACATCTGCTAAGGACCCTCGGCACCACTCCTGACAACACCAGCTCGTTCCTCTGGCAGCAGCTCCTGCAAGCCAAGCACTTGGGCTGATGGTAGCCAGAATTGCACATCAGACCAGCCCTTTTCAACTTCTTCCTCTTCCCTCATCATTCTTTTGCCTTAATAAAGTTTGCCTCCATCAAAACTTCGCACGTCTCCTCTCATTTTTGAATTCTGCCTGACATCCTCACCCAGAAAAGCGCCAGAAATGAACAAGCCTTTGGTGTAGATGGAAAATGGCACAACACATTTCTAAGGAAATACGTCCCTACTTGTAATAACCAAGACTGGAATGGGAAAATTGGTTGAGGGGGGGCCTTTCAGAACATGACTCCAACCCATCACTTGCTACACCAAAGGCTTTGACACACCAATGCTCTCCAGCTCATCAATGGTTCTGGTTAGGTCTCTCCATGCCAGCACACACTTCACAAAATCTCTTCCCAGTAGGAATTTAAAGCTCTTCCAGCAAAGAGGGGAACTACATCGCATCCACTTAGGCACAACCTCTGGAGTGCAATTGCTTCAACTCCCCAGCTCCCCTGCTCAAGCAGAGTCAGCAAGAGTAGAATTTCCAGCACCATGGACAGGTCAGATTTGGATCACCCAGCACAGGAACTCCACCACCTCTTCCCCTCTGTGACCACCCTCGCATTGAAAAGTTCTTTACTTCTTTGCCCAAGGATTTCCATCTGCTGCCCACATCCTTGTTGACAATGTTGAACAAGGTTGGCCCCTAGACACTTGACCTACTTTCATTGAAACTTGCCTCGATTTGAATTTTGAGCCTCTGATCCCCAGCCTCTGGGACCTGCAGCCACTCTCAGGCCACTCACTGAACTTTCAGGCAACCTGGACTTGCTCAGATGCTCTGGGAGCATGGAATGGGAAGGGGCATCAAAGGCTTTACAAAGGATTGAGTTTGGCAGCAACCAAAGCTCTCTCCTCATGCCCAGGCCAAGTCACTGGGACAGAGCAGACAGAGCTCAAGCACCGTTTCCTGAAAGGAAATCTTCCATGAGAAGAGGCTTTACCCCTTGGCACTTGACACAACACAAGACTCCAAAGGTCCTGGCTCTTTTCTACCCTGCTGCCACTCCACCTTAGCTTCTGCTCCCTTGCACAGCTGCCACTTACACTCCTGGAGTCAGTTCAGCTGACTGAACTGTCACCTTTGACATAGTCCAGATATAAACCAAGCAATGCCAAGCCACCAATCTTAAAAAAATTTCATTTTTTTTAAGACCTAAATATAAAATATCAAGTCAAACTCTTCCCCACAGCATTGTCAAGGCCACCAGTAGGCCTGTTCCCAAATGACACAGCTCTATAAGATCTAAATCTCTCCTGGGATGCTGACAGCACCACCATCCTAGACAGTCATTGCCAAGGATTGGAAAAACTTTCCTGAAGGAATTTTCCCAAATACAGAACTCAAACTCCTTTTGGACAACTTGACTCTATTCCCTCTTCTCCTATGGTTGTGTAAAACGGAGACAAGTCAAATGATTTCCATTCAGGTAAATTCAGAGGGCAACAAGGTCACACTATTTCTGAAAATTGAACATCCCCAGTTCCTTCACCTGCTCCTCATGTGTCTTGTTCACCAGTTTTCCTTTCCATGTGTGAGAGCACAGCTCTGTGACCCCATCAGCACAGGACTTCGCTGAACCCAGGTGAGAAGGGCACTATGGATGAACCAACCCAAGACTGTGGTGAGCATGGGAGGCCTCCCTAAATCACATGGATCACTTTCCTACCTCCAGCATAAAAACCCAGGCATATAGACAGGCATGGAGAGATGGAGTGAATGAAATGGGAAGTCCAGGTGCTCACAACTAAACAGAGGCAAAGCCCAGATCAACCCAACCAACCTGGATAGTTCCCTTCTTCACAACACACACACAACCCCAAAACCATGAGTTATACAGGCTGACCTGACTGACAACACCACAGCTTGCCAAAGACCTTCTCATCTCTTCGGTCCCCTTTGACATCACCATCAACACCAGACTTTGCTCTCAAACACTCACACTTTAAAGGAAGAATGACCGCAATACAAGGGGCAGCTCCTCATGCACAGCACAGTTGCAAAGCCCAGAGCACCCTGACATGGCTGTGATGGAATGGGGCCCCTCTTCACAACACACCCACAAACTAAACCACACTACTGCCAAAAAACACCTCACTGCCAACTCCCATATTTTTCCTAGGCTTTTGTTGTATATTCTGGTTTCCCTGACACACATCTTCCAAGAAAATCCTCCCAAATACCAACTCTCACTTAAAAGCTGCTGCTCAGTTCAAATGGACATGACCTCAAGGGCAGGACATGACACTGCAGAGGTGTGGAATGAAAAACACTCCCCACCTGATGACTCACCAGGCTGTGCCAGGCAAGAGCTGTAACCCACAAAATGCCCCAAGGCTCAGGGACCAACGCTGTCCCGCCCCTCCAGAAGCAGCATAAAAGCCAGCCCAGAGATCGTCTCTTCCTCACATCCTTCTCTTGACACCTTCTGCTGTGGTGCTGACAACAAGGTGAGCCTCAAATCCCTGATCCTCCTGCTCCTGCACCCCTGGGCCCTCTCTGCCAGCACCCTCAGCCCCAGCCTCAGCAGCCCTCATGCCTCCCCACAGCCTCCACACTCCCCCACCTTCCTACCTCACCACTCCTCAAACCCCCACAGCCCTGCCCAGCCTCACTCCCCTCTCTTCCAGGGACCCTCCACACCACAACCATGGCCTGCAACAACATCTGCCGTCCCTGCGGACCCACCCCACTGGCCAACAGCTGCAACGAGCCCTGTGCCCTGCAATGCCAGAACTCCAGCGTCATCATCAACCCTTCCCCTGTGCTGGTCACCCTGCCAGGACCCATCATGACCTCCTTCCCCCAGAACACCGTTGTCGGATCCACCTCCTCGGCTGCCGTTGGTAGCGAACTCAATGCCCAGGGACAGCCCATCTCTGGTGGCTTTGGCTTTGGCCTTGGCTATGGGCTGGGAGGCCTGGGCTGCTATGGCAGAAGGGGTGGCTACATCTGCTAAGGGACCTCAGCAACAACCCTGGAACACAGGGAATTTGATGCTCTGGCAATGGCTCCTGCAAGCTAAGCACCTTGGCTGATGGTTGCCCTCCTTATACCTCACATGATCCCTTCCACTTGTTTCTTTTGTCTTTTCCATCTTTTGCCTCAATAAAGTTGTGCTGCATCAAAGCCTGAGATGACTGCTCCTTTTTGAATTCCAATGGTCTCACACCCTCACCTAGTACATTTCTAGGCATGAACAGGCAATTGGGGTGGATGGAAATAGAGCATAAAACATTTCTTAGCAAATAGGTCATCACCAGTAATCACCAAGACTGTTATGGGAAGAAGGGACTAGGGGGGGACACCTTCAAAAATTTGACACAAGCCCATTCCCTGATACACCACAGGATTTGACCCAATTCTCTCCTGGGCAGAAAACTGGAAGAGTCACTCCATACCAGCACACACTTGACAAAATTTCTTCCCATCAGGACTCCTGAACCCTCACTACTAAAGAAATAATATCATCCACTTAGGCACAAACTCTAGGTTTGTGGTGCAACTGCTTCCATCAGACTGATCAAGCAGAGTCAGCACGATTTCCAGCCAGATTTCCAGCACAATGGACAGTTCCATTTTGGATCTGCCAGGACAGACCCCATCCCCTCTCCCACTCTCTGACTACTCTTACAATGAAAAATTCTTGCCTTCTTTGCCCATAGAATTGCATCCATTTTCATTTGTGTCCTTCCCATTTCTCCTTCACTGCTGAGAATAGCCTGGCTCCCTGGGTTTCATTCTCTACTATCAGGGATTTACATACAGTCATAAAAACCCCATCCATCCTTTTCTCCTGGGAATCCCAGCACTCTCAGGCTCTCCTCTAGGAAACATTCTCCAGCCCTTTCAGTATCGTGCTGGTCCTCCACTGCTCTTCTTTCACAGTTCCACTACCCCCATCATAACTGATGATCTTAAACAGGGTTGGTCTCATGAATACAATTCTTGACATACTTCCCTTGAGATTTATTCCGTCTGGACTTTATGCCACTGATCCCCAACCTCTGGGACCAGCCTCTCAGCCACTCTTAGGCCACTCACTGCACTCTCAGGCAACCTGGGCTTGTTCGGATGCTCTGGGATTGTAAAATGGGAAGGGGCATCAAAGGCTTCACAAAAGGGTTGAGTTCAGCAGCAGCCAAAGCTCTCTCCTCATGCCCAGGCCAAGTCACTGGGACAGAGCAGACACAGAGCTCAGCCAAGCACCATTTCCTGAAAAGAAATCCTCCAAGAGAAGTGGCCTCATCCCTTGGCACTTGACACAACTCAAGACTCCAAAGGCCTGGCTCACCCCTCACCTACTGCCGCTCCCATCTACCCTCTCCTCCCTTGCACAGGTGCCACCAACAACCATGGAATCAGTTCAGTTAGAAGCCCCTCTTGACATTCCGTCCAGCTGCAAACCAAATCAGTGAATGTCGGCAATCTTAAGACTTTTTCATTCGTAGAAGACCTAAATGTAAAATGGCATCAAGTTCAACCATTCCTCCGTCACTTCTAAGGCCAACATGAAACATCTCCAACGTCCAAATCTCGATAGCTTCTAAATTCCTCCAGCAGTGGTGACCATACTACTGTCCTGGGCAGCCATTGACAGGACTTGAAAACTCTTATTGTGAAATAATTTTCCCTAATTCCAAACTCAACCTCCCTTGGAGCAACTTGACCCCATTCCCTCTGCTATGGCTGGGTAAAAGGGATACAAGTCTAGTGTCAAATGACTTCCATTCAGGTACCTCTAGAGAGCAGAAGATCAACCCTTTTTATCTGAAAATTGAAAATCCCCACTTCTTTCACCTGCTCCTCATGTGGTTTGTTCTCCTTATCCTTCACCAGTTTTCCTTTCCATGTGCAAGACCCCAGCTCTATGACCCCACAGTGTGGCATGCCTGGGCCCAGGTAAGATGAACCAACACAAGACTTTAGCGAGCATGGAAGGCCATCCTAAATCACAGGAATTTCTTTCCCATGACCAAGAGGAAAGGAAAGACATAGAGACAGGCTTGGAGACATGAAGCCAAGATGGGGAGGGAGAGAACATGATGAAATGTCCAGATCTGTCACCCCGAGTACACCTGCAAATCCCAGACCATCATAACAGAGCTGTGAGGGAATGGGGCCTGTCCTCACAAAATAGCCACAAACCACAGCAACCAATGTTGTGGAGTGACTTCACAGACGACAACTCACTGTCCAAAGCTTTGGTCATGTTGTCAGCCCTCCCTGAAAAACAACATCATCACCAAACTTTGGTCTTTATTATTCTCATTTAAAAGCTGCTGTCAAAGTCAGATTGACAGGGCCTCAAGAAAAGGACAGGGAATTGCAGAAATGAGGGAAGGAAAACATTCCCCTCCTGATGACTCACCAGGCTGGGCCAGCAAAGAGTTACTGCCTAAAAAATGCCCCAGGGTCAGGAGACAAAGCTGTCCCACCCCTCCAGGACCAGCATAAAAGACAGCCAAGCACCTCTGTCCCTCACACCTTGCACCTTCTCCTCCTGCTCCTGCCGACAACCAGGTGAGCATCAAGCCCTTGATCCTCCTGCTCCTGCCTCTTGCACCCCTCTTCCAGCACACTCGACCCCAGCCTCAGCAGCTCTCACACCTCTCCACAGCCCCACAACAGCTTCCACAGTCCCTCACCCTCCTACATCACCACCCCTTGCTCCCAGCACCTCTGACCTTTCTTCCAGGGACCCTCCACACCACACCCATGGCCTGCTACGACTCCTGCCGTCCCTGTGGACCCACCCCGCTGGCCAACAGCTGCAACGAGCCCTGTGCCCTGCAATGCCAGAACTCCAGCGTCATCATCAACCCTTCCCCTGTGCTGGTCACCATGCCAGGACCCATCATGACCTCCTTCCCCCAGAACACCGCCGTTGGATCCACCTCCTCGGCTGCCGTTGGTAGCGAACTCAATGCCCAGGGACAGCCCATCTCTGGTGGCTTTGGCTTTGGCCTTGGCTATGGGCTGGGAGGCCTGGGCTGCTATGGCAGAAGGGGTGGCTACATCTGCTGAGGGACTTCAGCACCACCCCTGACACCACCAGCTCGTTCCTCTGGCAACATCTCCTGCAAGCCAAGCTCCAGGGCTGGTGGTCTATCTACTTCCACCTCACACTGGATCCCTTCAAGTTCTCTCCTTTGCCTTTTAATTCTTTTGCAGCAATAAAGTTTTCCTGCATTGAAGCCTCACATGTCTCCTCTTCTTTTTGAATTCCAAAGCTCACACACCCTCACCCAGAACAGCACCGTGGGGTGGATGGCAAAGGGGCACAACACCTTTCTAAAGAAGTAGGCCTCCACCAGTACTAACCAAGACTGGCACAGGAAGCAGGGTTGAAGGGTGACCTTCCAGAACATGACAAAAACACATCACCTGCCCTACCAAAGGCTTTGACACAGCAATGTTCATTGCTCTGGGAAAGTCTCTCCATGCTAGCCTATCCCTGACAATATCTCCCCGCTTCAAAACTCTCAAACCATACAAACAGTCAAAATATCATCCACACTCAGAAAATCAGGAAGTGCTCTAAGTGCTTCAATCCCCTCCGCTCAAGTAAATCCAGAGAAGGATTTCCAGAACCATGGCCAGTTCAGGTTTTGATCTCCCTGGACGGAGTGACTTCTGCACCTCTTCCACTCTGTGACCAGCCTCACATTAAAAAAAAGGCTTGTTTGCTCTGCCCATGGAACTTCATCTGTTTTCACTTGTGTCATTGCCAACCTTTCCTTCACATGTGCAGCACTGAGAACAGATGTGACCCCTCAGCTTCATTCCCTGCCACCAGGGATTTACACACACTGGTAACAATCCCCCTTCCAGCCTTGTGTCCTGGAAGTCCCAGTTCTCTCAGCCCTCTGTGAAAAATCCTCCAGCTTTTTAAATATCTTGGTATCTGAACTGGCCTTGTTTCACTAAGTCTGTGGGCCTCCTCTCCTGGGGTTCCCAGAACTGCTCACACCAACTCATGTCATTTTTAAGGATGTTGAACAGTGCTGGCCAAATGGATATGACTCTTGAGCTACTTCATTTGAGGTTTGACTCCAGCTTGACTTCGGATCACAAGGTTACGGGTCATGTTTAAAAATTATATTAATACAGCAGTTCACCTCACTGACCCTTTGCACCACCTGTAAATCCTTTCATAGTCTGGGATGATGCACTAGGAGACAGTGCCAAAGACACTGCTAAGAGGTGGAGGTAAACACCAGCCATGGCTCCCTCATCACCCACAATAAGATTTTATTTTTCAGTAGGTAACACAGAGGTCACTAAGACATGATTTTACCCTCCAAAATCAGCTCCTCATCACCTAGTATGACCTGCACTTGGAAATGCTTTCAAGGGTAAAAAATTGCCCCATCCTTGTCTGCAGGAACAATGTCTGGAAAGCCATGGTGTCCTAGTTTAGGGCAAATTTGGGAGGAAAACTCCAAATGGAGGCTTCCCCAGGAAAAAAAAATTCAAATGACCCCTCCTCCCAACTGCTTCAGGAAAAAAAACTTTCCTTGGAGAGAAGTGGAAAAAGCTGTTTATAAAACAGAAATTGAATAATATAAAACAATAAAAACTTCTCACTGTTCAATGAGATGGCAAATCTAGGAAAAAAAATCCTTTTGATGTGGTGTAGCTTGGCTCGCTCAGGTTCTTATCAGTCCCACCAGTGCTGGATAGTGCTGAGGCCCAGGCCCTGGTGGGCCACAGGCATGAGCTCCCAGGGTTTGTCTGGGTATTTTTCAGTCCAAAACAGGTTTGCACAGATCCACAAAAAAAAAAGGGAAAGAAAAAAAAATCCAGGGAACTCCTCTGCCTCAGCTAGCTAAAACTAACTAAAAAACAAAGAAAAGCTCTCTCCTGCTGTCTGTCCATTCTGCAGACACCACAGTCCAGGATCGGGATGTGGGGGAGTGATGTTTTCTTTCAACACAAACTGCACGCTTCTTCTTCCCCCCTTCGCTCTCAGAGCCAGTCTTAAAGGTGCAGAACTTAACATATAGCATAAACCAGGCAGCTGGGGATACCAGTATCATAAAATCACTCCAGGACACATGGGCAAGGTGAAAGGGAGTCAATGCACTGCAAGGGGTGGGTTCTAATTCCCAGCACAGCCACAAAGTCCAGACCATCCTGACAGGGCTGTAAAGGAATGGGGTCCTGTTGTACTACTTGTGGTTGTGGGATTTCAGTTTCTTCAGGGCCGTGTTCTTTGGGATACTCCCTCACGGGGAGTTTCTCTTATCTCAGTTCTGTTTCAGGAAAGATTCTCTAAAGGCTTCCTTGCTTTTTGTTTCTCATGTTTATTTATGTATAATTAAAATACTTGGTAATCTTCCCCAGATTTTTTTACAAAAGTTCAACCCACCACTGCATGGCTCAAGTTGGCTTTAAGAGCACAAAATGGCCTCAAACTATGCAGTTTTTTATCTTTATACTTATTTTTACTCAATTAAAAATAGACACATAAATTATTTTACTTAATGACTTACGACTTGTGTGTTGCATTGTGGCATCCTTTATCTAATCACCGATTACTATTCAAAAACTTCTAGAACAAGAAGATCAAGAAGAAAGAAGGAAAAAAGACAACACCTTAAACTCTTCATCTTGTCTTCTGTTTCTTAAACTAGCTTAAACTAACTTTTTCACTCAGTGACTTAAGAAAACTTTCTAATCTACACACTTAAACTTTTAGCTTTTTTATTTAACTTTAACAATTGTTTTCAAGGTGTTATATGAAATTCAGTGTTTTCTAGGATGTCAGAGCTAGGTATCAGAGACAAGGGCACACTCAGTGCCTCAGACTCTAACAGGGTCCTACTTTCAAAAGCAACCACAAACCAAAGCACACCAGTCCCGTGAGTTGACCTCACTGATGACATCCCAATTTTTCTAGGTATCTGTGGTATAATCTGGTTTCTCTGACATGTACCTTCTAAGCAAATCCTCCCAAACACCAACTCTCACTAAAAAGCTGCTGCTAAGGTCAGTCGGACATGGTCACAAGAGCAGAACATGGAATTGTAGAGTTGCAGGAAAGACAAGAGCTCCCAGCTCATAACTTGCCAGGCTGGGCCAGGAAATACTGATGCTACGCTTTTCATTCAGGTGCTTTGAAAGAGTAAAAAGGTTAACTCTTTGTTCGGAAAATTGAATGTACCAAGGCTGTTCAACAGCTTCTCACATGTTGTCTTCTTATCCTGCATCACTTCTACTTTCTATATTTCACTCAGAGTCCAGCAATGGGACCCCTCAGTCTGACCTTGCAGGGCCCAAATGAGACCCTCGCCATGGATGAACCAACACAAGCCATTGGACAGCAGGGGAGGCATCACGGGGATTGTTTTCCCATATCCAGTAGGAAAAGCCTGGCATATAGATGGGTTTAGATTGTTGGCAACAGGATAGGGAGAGAATGTGATGGAAGAGGACATCTGTCACCAGCAGAAGAGCCCCAAAGCCCAGAGGAGCCTGACTTGTCTTTTGGGGAATGAGGACCCTCTCCACAAGACACCCAAAAACCACAGCACACCAGGGCCATGGGGTTGTTGACACCTCCCTGTCCAACGCTCTGGTCACGTCTACAGCCCTCCACAAAAAACATCATCATCAACAGCCTTTGGTCTCTAATACTTGCATTTAAAAGCTGCCGTCAAGGTCAGATGGACACGGACTCAAAAGCAGGACATGACACTGCAGAGTTGTGGGATGGAAAACACTCCCCACCACATGACCCATCATTCTGAGACAGCCAGGAAATGTTACCTGCAAAATGCCCCAAGGCCACAGGACAAGGTAGTCCCACCCCTCCAGAACCAACATAAAAGCCGGCCCAGTGCCTCTGTCCATCACACACTTCTCCTCACAGCTTCTGCTCCTGCTGACAACCAGGTGAGCCTAAAACCCCTGAGCCTCCTGCTCCTGCACCCCTGGTCTCTCCCTGCCAGCAATCTCAGCACCAGCCTCAGCAGCTCTCATACCTCCCCACAGCCCCACAACAGCCTCCAAACTCTCTCTCCTGCATCACCACCCTTTCCACCCCCACACCCCTGCCCAGCCTCACTCCCTTCTCTTCCAGGGACCCTCCACACCACACCCATGGCCTGCTACGACTCCTGCCGTCCCTGCGGACCCACCCCACTGGCCAACAGCTGCAACGAGCCCTGTGCCCTGCAATGCCAGGATTCCCGTGTCATCATCAACCCTTCCCCTGTGCTGGTCACCATGCCAGGACCCATCATGACCTCCTTCCCCCAGAACACCGTCGTCGGATCCACCTCCTCGGCTGCCGTTGGTAGCGAACTCAATGCCCAGGGACAGCCCATCTCTGGTGGCTTTGGCTTTGGCCTTGGCTATGGACTGGGAGGCCTGGGCTGCTATGGCAGAAGGGGTGGCTACATCTGCTAAGGGACCTCGGCACCACCTCTGACACCACCAGCTCGTTGCATTGACAATATCTCCCGCAAGCCAAGCACCTGGGCTGATGGTCAGCCGACTTTCTTCCTCACACCCAATTCCTTCAGCTTCTTCTTTCTCATCATTCTAGTACTTCAATAAATTTGCCTTGCATCAGAACCTGAGTTGCCTCCTTGTTTTTTTGGAATTCCAATGATCTCACATCCTCACGGCGTGTAATGCCAGCACTCAACCATTATGATGGATATAAAAGGATGAAAGGACGGTTCTTAGCAAATATCTCCCCACCAGTAACAACCAACACTGACACAGGGAACAGAGGACAAGGGGGGACCTTCCAGAACATGACACAAGCCCATCACCTGATACACCAAAGGCTTTGACACAACAATTCTCTCCTGGGCACTGCTCTGCCAAAATCACTCCATGCCAGCATGCAGTTTGAAATATTTTCTTCTCAGCAGCACTCTTGTGTCCTCCCAGCAAACAGGGCAATAACATCATGCACTTGGGCAGCATCTGCAGAGCGCATATGATTCCAGCCCTC